GAATTATTTGGCATTGATAAGGGCACCTGATGCTGACTTTTCCTCCCAAACGTAATTTGATCTTGTCCAGCCACAGTCTGGTTTCATCATAAAGGACCGTTCCACAGTTTACAGGAGCATTCAATAAAATCTTTAACGGATCAGTAGGACTTTGAAATACGCAGTAAGATGCTTCAATTTGTCTTCGCATGCATTTCTTAAACATATCCAAATTTACATCACGTAAATCAAGCGAGTCAAATGCCTGAAGACACAATTCAATCTTCTCACTGAGAACGTCTTCTTCGGATTCTCCATTAACTGATTCTTCTTCAACGATTTCTTCCGATTCTTGAGACGACAAGTCATCCCTATCAGCTAAAACTGCTTCTCGAACTGCATCTGTCGAAAAATAATTACTCTGGCCTTTGGCTGCCATATTGAAATGTTTCACTTTGTTGAGCAACTGCTGACATTGCGCACCGCCGACCCCTGCCACATTTTGAGTCTCCTGTGCCCACCGTGCATGGAAATGTTAAAGATATAACTTCTCGTTTGACTGATTAAGAGAGATTGATTGGAAAGTCAGCAAACAGAGTAAAAATGGCACTTATGTTATTCAGACCAAACAGTTAAAATAAGTACCAGTGTTTGTCATTATACAGATGATTTGTTATTTTGATGACTGTTTCATCAGCATTTCATTACTTCTACAAACTGTTTTACAGACAAGGCGTCTCTCTTGGTGTTACTGGAAAATCTCACAAAATTCCCACATATTGTTACCTGAGATCCACTGAGATCTACTGAGATCAAATCAACATTTGACTTTTGAATCAAGTAATGGTTTGAATTTTCAACTTCCATTTGGACGGTGAATCTATTGAAAGGAGTAATTAAATGAATTTTCCATAATAATTTCACCCATAGCAGAGATGCTTGACCTATTATGACTTATTATTGTGGATGCACTTGACCTAGAGAACAGTGTAGGATAATTGAGTTTACTCCTTCGCTGTTGTAAGAATTTAATATGGGATGTGCATTGATTTTTTACAGAAAACATCCATGAGTTAAAACTTCTATCCTCCAAACACTCACCTTCCAGGACAATTTTCATCATAACTTTCAAAATCCCCCCCCAACTGGGTACGGTTATTTTCTAGTATCATTCATGGTTCTTGTTTATTCCTGTTTGTAGTCCCATTTCTGTTGAGTTCAGTTTAGTTACATGTTAAAGATGGTGACAATTGTAATTTAATATTTCCAATAAAAGTTTGATGTTTGTTACAAACAAAGGAATAAAGAATGTTGGGAGTAAAGTTCAGTGTTTATTCATGGTCGCTAAATGTGAACTTGTTCTTTAAGGAACCTCACCAGTTGATGTAATTCTTTTAACAGGTCCATTTAAACAATATTTGGCAGAAAATATTTCACTTCAAAGATCTAATTGCAATATTTTTGGACTTACAGCCACTGTGGCCCTATTCTCTAACAAAGCCCGATTTTTTTCAGATTAAGGATTTTTTTCCAAACTGAAGTCGGTGACTTCATTTTTTTTACATTTCTGACATCACTAACTTGTCATCTTTCAATGGTAAAAGTCTCAGAAAAACATCAATGTTGGAAACTTTTCGCATGAATGTCCTTAAGTCAAAGAGAAATAGCACAGAGAGCAGGAATCTGAAAAACAGATTGTTTACATCAGGTTATTGTGACATGGAACTCAACATTTGAAATCGATCAACTGTCAAAGGAGATACCGTTGAATAGAAAATAGATGTGATGCCTTAGAGCTCTGTCAAGTAATATTTTAAGTACTCTTTTAAAGTACCTTGCATGCCTGCCTGGTGGTTGAGAGGCATTATGGAGCCTTGATAAACCCGTAAGTCATCAACATGTCCAAACAAAGATACAATCGAGTTACTGACATTTGAAGTCAGATTGATCTAGGCAGCAAAGTCTACAAGCAGTTCTTGCCCCCCCCCCCAAAAAAAAAACCCTTTCACAAGTTGTGGCCCATTTTTGCCAAGCACTGGTGTCATAGTTTGATATTCTTTACTTCTCCTTCTAGTAGGTCAAGTAGGATAGTTTATAGCATGTGCAATGTATATCATGCAGAATTTTTACCAGACAAATGATAAGATATTTCCTAACAATATCGTAGTAAATTAGAAGTAAATGACTTTAACAAAATACCTCATATGTCCATGAGTGCACACTGAGATTCATGCTCTTTATGATAAGCATCACAAGGTGTTCCCATTTGTAAAAAAGTCACCAAAACATGCATAATAATGTCACATATGAAGTAATATGAAAATGACACTTTGTGATGCTTCTCATAAGGACCATACATCTCATTAGCATACATCTCAATCCTGGACATTAGTGCCATAGATGCCATTCTAAGAGATGTCATAGCTGGCTCAATCAACTTGCAAGTCAGAGATAGATTGAGCCCGCCAGATGCCATTGCCAATATTCCTGGAACGTTAATTCTTCTTTGATACACCCCTTGAACATCTAGATAGGGTTACTCCAAAAAGTATCCTTGACATGCTGAGGTCTATTCTTGTGACATTCAAGTTCAGAAAGACAGTTAAATCCTTCCATAAAGAATTTGGAGCTGACTTCACAAGGCATTTCTTTGTTCCTGAAATTAAATCAGTCACAGGTAACCCACATCATGAACGTGGAGACCACAATCGTGTGTTGAAGAGAGTGGGAGCATGTATCAGAAATGACAACTACCCATATCAGAGTTTTGAGGCATTTGTAGAGGCTATGCATTCACCCAAAATTGGTCTTACCTCCTCAGCACTTGCAGCAAAAAGAATGAAATTTGCAGTTGATATAGAAAGACTCCTTTCCTATCATGTGACTAATTTCTTTTAGAGAAAAAGGCCGTGCAAATGAGTGCCAGTATGTGAAGGTTGTTGCTCATTGACATGAATCATCTGACAGAAAAGGCATATCACAGCTCAAGAGAAGCAGTACAGATGTAAGATTTGAACTACATACTTGATAAATGGATGGCCTGGCATAAGGATGATAAGATAGATTCCACAGGTTTTTTTTCTTTCTTCCTCTTTCCACAGTAATGTGCTGGTGATACCTTTATTCAGAGCTTCAGTTTTGCAACTGTTTACTCAGTGCAGCTGTGTTTCTCATTGTTGTGACTGAATTCTGTGCTATTATGTAAATTGTCTGCTATTATGCTATTTGTTTCATTTTTTTCTTGACCAGTGGAATACATCAGAGGTTTCACAAGAGACGTAGTTATTGCAATTATGGCAAACATTGAAGGCAAGGAGCTGAGGTGCCAGAATAATAAAATTGGACATCCTGAACACCAACATACAGAAGTAACAGAGTACCTCAAGGTATCTGCACCTGCGATTTTGGGTCATTTTTAAAGGCAAATATTGCATCCAAAATGTGTGAAACAATGCAGATTCTGTCAATAACATACAATCTCATTCATGTTAAACTTGAAAATTCACCTGTCTCCCTCATATCAGACCCCCTGTGGGGGATCTTGGCTTAAATATTAACCCGCCCTAAGAAAACGATTCACATTTTTTATTTAAACTACGCAAATAATTCAAGATGTAAAGACATAGTCATGTCTGTATAAATAAAAGCTTTATTTCTACGGTAGGGTTTCTATGATATGTTAAAGAAACTCAAATTATCGCAATGTGACTGAATGCATACTTTGCCAAGTCAGAACATGGTTGTGTTGGCCTCTATGTTAAGACCCTATCAAGCGTTTCCGAGTTATGTCCTTTAGAGATAACCTGCCAAATTTCATTGCAAAAGAGCCACTCAATTCCCCCCAAAATCAAATTTACTTCTTACAATCCCTCCAGGAGGCATTATGATAGAAGTGAAAAGCTATCTAACCTTTGAATTCTAACGATATCACTGGAAACATGGCGTTCAAGCTTTCTTCCGCCATATTGGATTATTATCTGCCGATCAAATGAGCTGTGGATGCCTGTTTTACTTGTTTGGCCCCCACCCCTATCCCCCAAACTTGCTTTCTTCATCAGTTGCTAAGGTATGTCATGCTGTGTCAACTACGTCATGCTTGTGCCAGCGTGAACTATATCTGGTTGAGTACGATAGCGTCGAGCGATCATGCTGCGTAAAAAGAAATGCAAGATATCCGATAAGTGCAAAAGAAAGCAAATGTTAGGGGAGAGATCAAAGAAAGCATTGGAGAAGAGAGGTTTAGGAATTGGAGTTTGGAGAAAGTTTGCCCTGGGAGCTAACTAGAGAGAGGAAAAATACAAGAGTGGCGTTTGAACACGAGTGCAGTATATTACCCCTGGGAAAACAAAGTACAGGATGCAAAAGAGTGTAGGGGAAGCACTTGCCTCTAGTAACTTAAAAGACTGGTTTCATGACGGAACAACAATGACAGAAGAGGCACCCCCCAATGACGATTCAGAGTATTTCTTGAGTTCAGACGAGAACGTCAAAGTGCCATCGAAGATGGAAGAAAGAAAGGGTTTCATCGCTTGTTTGTATGTGATTCCACACAGCTGACTGATTTGGTGGATCAAATTAATGCCACATCAATGTGTTCAACTGATGGATGCAATGGAACGTAAACATTTTTGATTTCAAGGAAAATTGTTTGATTTTTCATCGTTTGAGTCACTGAAGAAGCTTTCACAAAATAAAAATTATCACACCTAATTGGGAACTATAGAAATTGTTCACACCACAGATCCACCTCTTTGATATGTTTTCTGCTTCATTCATCAGTTGATTTTATGAAAATTTTCCGATTTAAGTCAAAATACTGCAATTTAAAATTTACCACACTACAATACTTGTCATAGTGAATGGTTTGAACCCAGGGGTATCAGCAGTTCGTATAGTGTGATGGTCCAGGTGAGTGTAGTTCTGAAAAGAACTGTTGTTGGTGACTGACGTTTGGACAACCTGAGCGGAAGTCATCTTCAGAGTCAAGTGAATGGTGTTTGTCAGTCGATCTTATAAGTCTGTTCCGCTGAACATGATTGGTCAGTATAGCCATGATGGTATTGGCTGAAAGACTCGTGTAAAGTTTGTCATCCGTCATTGGTGGGTTTCAATCCGTCTATTGTTAGTCAAATCTGTCATCTCACAGATAAAGAAAAATGGATAAATTAGAGTAAAGGTAGTTTATACAAAGTACCAACCCAATTTCAGACCACATTCATCAATCTTTAAACTCATTTTCAGACAGAAATTCCTAAAACATTGCATGCTTCAAGCCCCATGGCTGACAGAAAGAACCATTATCCCCCTTTTCCTGAAAATGACTCTCTATTTTACCAACGTTGCTCTCTTGCGTGTAGGTATACATCTTGAAGTTTTTTGTAAGTTCAGTACATTTCTAATTGTAGGCATTCTTGTGTTGGCCAAAGTTGAACAGGTTGGTCTTGGTGGCTCTCTCAATGGAGTATTTACGTGCAACAGCTGCACCCTATGAACTGTGAACTTCCAGGGATCAGCTCTTGTCGAAGGTTGTAAAAGAACTGTTGTGAACCTTGCAATAGGGGTGGCATTCTTTATCTCTGGTCATAGCTTTCCAAAATTTGACAGAACTTGAAGGCAGTTCCTTGGAATAAGCTGTGTTTCAACGAACAGATCATATGACATTATCAAGCTTGTTTACCCGCACATTACTGCGATACTGGATGACATGTGTGAAGAGGAGAAAGATAGAATACCAACAAGCCAAGGATGAAGGTTCCTGTGTGAATACAGTTTGGCAAGATGGCGACTCTAGCTCTGCAAAGTCTGTGAGTCAACATCACCCAGATGCAAAAATATACAAGGGTGGAGGACATGTTGATAGGGTCCACACAAACAATTTAAAAGAGGCTGCCAAGAGGAAAGAATTTTCTGCAGATGTAAAGAACAAGCTGAAGGACAAGTTTCCTGGCATTGGAATGCTAAAATGTAAATGTGAAAGGCACAGGTCTGGTAGTAGATGTATGTCAGAAAATTTCATAAAGGCAGCAAGAATCAATCACTTTTGTATTCTCCAGCAGTCCAGTAACCCTGCAGAATGTGTAGAATGCATGAGGATTCTCTCACAGTAACACTGCAGAGACATTCATACCTGGGATGGAGGCTTGTGTGGATTTCATCCACAGCATACATGTACATGTAACAGATGTGACAAGGATGAGGAGCCTAGCTGTGAAGGGAAAGACCATCATACCAAGTTCCCATTAACATGTGACTACAACTGGATGGCCTACAGACCAGAGTGTCCAAAAAAGCAGAGGATTCAAAGGCAGTCATCTATCCTGAACTTGGAAGGGGGAATTCAAACTTACAGGAAGCACACTTTACGGTGCTTCCCCACTTCAGAGCAAAGGATCAGCGTTTGAAGAGGTCCATAAATTATTTATAAATAAATGTTCTTGATCATAAATCAACAATTGGTTCATGCTGTAAATGAATTTGATCTGCTAGCTCTGCTAGCTATGTTGTAAAATAATTTGTAATCTTAAAATTCGAGAGCTTGAGTATTAGTGAACCACATTCATTATACATTAGATACTTTAGACAAACACATTATTTACCCTCCTTGGCCCCCCCAGTGATACCAGCTAAGGAATGAACATGCTTTCTTACTTTTAAGATTTAAAAAGACATTTCAAAATTCTGTTCATCCATTCTCACCAGTACTCTTGCAATTTTATTGTCTTTCTATAGATTCTCAAACTTTCTAATATTTTCCCAAATATTCAGTTCAATATAAGGTGGGTAGCATCACAGATGTACTTTAATTCCCAAGTAAAAGTTATAATAATGAAGGTGTCTTCCTACGGGTTACACTACATGACCTCGACAAATGCAGGGCTATGTCATGGTAATATGACCTGGTGTTTTGAAGTTCGAGAAACCTCAATACCATTGGGCCATTGATCTGTAGAAGTGACTCAATCTCCCTATCCTGCCAGCAGTTGTCCAGATGATCAAGGAGGGGGCTGCTGAACTTGAAAACTGAAAATCTAGTCATGCTAGGACCCTCAGAGTTCGAATGATGGTGGCAAGAGTTGAAGACCAAGAAGCCAGGAAAAAATGGGTGAGAGGTCAAGCAGTTCAGCACATCTATGGAGAAGATGATGATGATGAACCGCAGGAACAGGAAGAGTCAAACCATAATCAGTGCCAAAACCTGCCGCTGTGGTTTGACAATGCACAAATCATGCCCTCTTAACATCAAGAAGTCATGAGATGAAACTGTAACCAGTTACATGAAGTATGTTCATCCTTCTTTTTGCTTTGTTTTATTTTCCTTGCATTTTATTTCAATGAACCTCTAGCTCTCCTTGAGTTACAGGTAAACAGTCTTTCTGTTATCCAGCAACCAAAGTAAATAATCTGCACAGCAACATTCATTTAGCATTGAAAGGGCTTTCATATACATATAGCTGTATGTTTTGATTGAAGGCCGCTGAAGTTGTACTTGTGTTTGTTGTCAGCATTGTTGATTAATTAGTGAAAAAAGTAACTGAACAAGAAAAGAAAAGAAAAGCAAAGAATGAAAGCAGGAACAATTCCTCTTGAAATTTAACTGCTTGAATTTTCTTTGTTGTTTCTCAGTTTTTAGTCAAATGTCACAAGAAAATAAGATTACTCAGTCTATCAGTTTAGGGGGGTGCATATTTGAGGTATGAGTTCACGAATATGTGCTATATAGACTTCATCATCAAGCAAGGTATTGTTGAATTTCAAGAAACAACAGCCCTTTGAGATCATCACAGGCAACGACATAAAAATAGATTGCCTTATGATCAGGTGCAATCAACACGGTAATGCCAACTTTGCTTACATACTTTACCAAAGATTTTGCCACAAGAAAAACCTGTAAGAATTTGGATTCGCATGAAAAAAGTCGTGAATTCGGATGGCGGGCTCTGTAAATGTTGATTAGATCAAAGGTTTCCATGGCGGTTAGTAGCAGATTTCTAAGGGGTGTAGGTTTCCAAAATGCTCCGCCTTTTTTGTCTCTTTTTGTTAGCGTACAGTTCCAATCACCTCCAATGACAATATTTGCCGTTTCGGACTTGTCTACAATGAAATTGTTTAATCTGTGGATGAACTCTAGTTGTTCTCATTGGTTGTTAGGTGCTTAGATGTTGAATAACAAAGTTTTCACACCATTTAAATGTGCGGTGATTAAAACAATTCTCCCAACAACTCTCTGTGAATGCTGTCACGTTTTCATTGATGAAAATCTTGCTGTTTCATCTGCAAATATATTGGCAAATTGTACATTTTTCAGTTGAACTCTGTTTATAAAGAGAAGATTTATGACTAACAAAACGTACAATAACTGGGCTGGATTTCTTTCTTTTCACTCAATGGCAGATGTCAATATTGTTGGGTTTTACTTCAACATTCAACGCATTGGCGATTTTGAGTACTGCATCTTCATTTTCACGAATACTTTCAGGAATACCAACAATTTTAAGCGAGTTCTTTCTCAAGTATCGCTCTAAATCATCCAAGCAATACAGGTCATCTATTTCATCTCTTTGCAGGGAGATTTTTCATTTAGCTGCATCAAGTTCAAGTCTCAGTTCCTTGTCGGTGTTTTGCACATCACTTAGCATGGTCTTTGTCGCCAACAGCTCGCTTTCCAACCTCCTTAAGCCTGGTTTCCATATGATCGTCCAGATCGTCCCAATCGTTCCAGTTGTCTCAAAAAATGTTCAGACGATCAGGAAAACTGAGACGATTGCTGGTTTCCATATGACCACTTCAAAGACTGAAGATGCGCGGTAATCAACGATGTTCCTGGGTCCGACAAAAGAATTTGGTGTGATATTCGCAAACAAAATGGTGAACGTCAACTGCAGAACAAGTCTCCTGGCTTCTCCTGGCTTATTCTTTTCATTTTGGGCTGTAGAAGAGCTTGAAGAATCCCAAAGACACAGATTTTGAGTTCAACAGATATATCAGAAGCGAGAACAATTCGGAGCTTACCATACTCTGGTACAAGAGCTTGGACTGCATGACAGGGAATTTCTCTTCAGGTACGATTTTCAAACTATGTGGTTTGTGCAAGTTTACAAGGAAACTGACTGATGTGAAGTATGAACTTATTGTCTACGCTAGGTTCACAAGAATGTTCCCGGAGCGTTTTGAAGATCTTTTAACCCTTGTATTGGTGACAGAAAGCATATCATGATGGACTGCCCAAAGAATGGTGGATCCGACTAGTACAATTGCAAAAGCTTCCACAATATTGTCTTATTGGCAATTTATGATGCTAAGTATTGTTTCACATTTGCAGATATTGGAGGATCTGGCAGTACAAATGATGCTAGTGTACTATCCTACTCCGTGTTTGGTCAAGCATTCGAACAACACCCCACAGAGTTAAACCTCCCTAGCCCTTCCCTGCATGGAGACAAAGATCTCCCCTATGTCATTGTTGGAGATGGATATTTTCCTACTTAAGCACTGGCTCATGAAGCCATATCCTGGCAAAAACCTCGACCAGTGTCAAAGAATTAATAATTACAGGCTATCAAGAACAGGGCGAACAATTGAAAATGCATTTGGGATATTGGCAGCAAAGTGGAGAATATTCAGATGGGCAATAAGAGCAGATGTTGCTTTGGTGAAGACAATAGTGCAAGCCACAATTTGCCTTCACAATCATCTGCACTTGACAGAGAATGCCAACTGTACACCAGCAGGGTTTGTTGTCTGCGAAGACAGTAGTGGGAACACAATTCCTGGTGACTGGAGGAGTGAAGTCAACTATGATGAAGGGGGTCTTAGGCCCAGTTCAGACGGCAAACTTTTCATGAGCCGAACCTAATACGTTGAATTAAGTACATGAAAAGTTCGGCGTCTGAATGAGTTAAGAACGGCTATTCGAATTGGGACTGACTCAGCCGTTCTTCCTGCCTGGCTCAACCGGGAATTTCGCCTTTGGAATGGCTTTGATTCAGATGCTGAACTTTTCATGTGCCGAACCTAATGCATAAATTATTATAACGTATTTTAAAAGCAGTTTCTTGAAGGGAGCATGCGTCATAGAGCGTGTTTATTACCATCATGCGACTTGGAGAGCTACACTCGCGGATAACAGCGAAGACATGTGTAGTTCCTGCTTTGCTAACACGAAGTATGTTTGTATTGAATGTCACATGCCGATCTGTAACAAGTGTTCTATTTTCGAAAACAATGAAGATACTGTTGGCTGGACGGCAGGAAGATCTGTTGGGCATTGTGAACTGTGCTTCAAGGTTAAGAAGTTGCTGGAAGAGAATTGTGATGGCGGGAAACGAAGAATGGCAAATAATGGGCGAGACAAGACCAACAACCCAGAAAAGTACGTGTTGAATTAACTTTTACAACTACCTTGGGTAACAGTTTTATTCCAAGTAATGTTTTATTGAAGGCATTATATAGATTTCCGTACTTTATAAAGTTTCTCATTTATGGAGTGTGGCGGTTTGCAAGGAAACAGGTTTCCTCGCCCCATTGTCAAGTCGTGCTATTGTAGGAAACAAAGGGAATATTCTAATCCCCGTTCTAAAAGCAAAATGCAACAACAGAGAAATATGCATTCCTCATAATAGCTTTAGTTTTTTTGTTGCCGAATAGTTAGAATATTGCAACTACAATGTGCAAATTGTAATAATTTTAATTTGTTTTGGCATATTCCAGTAGCTTACAAGAAACTTACAGTCCCTCAAATTCAGAGGAGGAACCATTGGATATAGATAAACAGAAGGACGACCAAGAGGAGAACAAGAAGGATGGTAGTAAGTCAAAGAACAAGCGAAAAAAAGCAGGAAGAAAGCCCAGGTGGTCACAAGAGCTGCTGAATGATTTCATTGATATAATTGTGAGCAGTGATCACTACAAGACAAAGCTGATATTTAGGAATACTAAATTTCAACAGAATGGGGAAATCTATGGGAAAATCCGTGAAGAACTGAAGCAGAGATGTGTCACAAGGGATGAGAGTTTCTGTTTTACTGTTGAGCAACTGAGATCAAAGTTCAAGAAGTGTGTGTCTGAATGTAAGAGAGCTGCTCTTACTATTAAGACTGGAACTGGCATTAAAAGATTCCAAGAAGACAAAAATTTGGGGGCATGGTTTCAGAAGCTTTATGACATAGTCAAGACAAGAGACTCTTGCCAGCCAGGGCAAGCAAGGGAACCATCAGCAACTCAGTTTTGCCGAAACATCACTAGCACACCAACTTTGGACAGCTCTGAAAGTGAAACGTCATCAGTTGACCAAAGTCAGAATTTGTTTGTTCCTGTAAAGCAACCAAAACGAAAAAGCAATCGGGATGACCCAATTTGTGAAGCTATGAAATTGATGAAAACAATAGCAGAAAAAGATCCAACCAGGGAACTTATAAGTTTTATGAAAGATGATATAGAGAAAGCACGGGAGCATGAGTTAAAATTGATGCAAATGATGCTTTCATTTCAAAACCAGCAACCACTTCAGGGTCAGAGCCCTGTGTCTGCAGCAGGACATGTGGGTTTTGCCTCACGTTCCTGTAATAGTGATGGCCTCTACTTGCCTTATCCACCAGCTCCTCACCAAATTATTCAGAGCACTGGTTCCATGTATCAGGGCCCTTCAAATTATCAGTTTCGACCCCTTTCTCCTGCAAATGCTCTGCCAACGTCGGTTAATTCTAATTATTCTACTCCAAGCCCTGAATCTGTTGGCGAGGCGTCTACTCTTACCAGGGCCGATAATCCTGTTTACCACTCTATGTGATTTATTATTATATAAACAAGAATACACGTAGGAAGTTGAAATTGTATCCTCATATTTGTATCCTTATTTCACTTTCTAATCTCTGATTGGTTGCCAGAATGACTGTAAAGAACACATTATTTTTTTTTGTCGTTTGATATATACAAATTTTGTGTACAACCGAATACTTACCACTTAACCACAGTGTTTGTACATGTCATATTTAGCCACTCTATAGGAGGGGAAGTAATTTTACAGTTCGTGAATATGTTGTGTTAATAAGCTGCTTTATGACAAAGTGAAACAACTCTGTACTGCCTCTTGAGATTACATGTTTATCAATAAGAGTTCTACAGTGAGTACTATAAATCAGTGTAGCTCTTAAGGAGAATGCAATGTATACACCACAATGAGCCTATTTTCTCTCAAAGACAAACATCATTTCTCATAGAAACACTTTAATAGTAACATGTTAAACAACATTGGCACATTATGCTAATAAACAGTTATTTGCAAATGTACATCTTCCATTTCTAACACCACAAAATCCACCCTGGAAACATCTGAAACATTGTTCAAGTTAATGTCTTGAGTAATATCAACAAAGGAGTCATACCTACTTTAAGAAAGGATTTTCCCAGGGCAAATAATTATTAATGACCATGTGATTATCACAGGGATTAAAAGAGTAATCTAAAGTGGTCTAACAAATAATGCCAGTTTGTTTTTCCGAAAACAATTTGTCAGCAAGGGCATTTCGTATGATATCTGCCTGCTGGCATGAATCTCTCACAAGGCAGCATTTGAAGTATTTCCCTTATCCGATTCCTATCGCGTCGCTGGTTTGTAACTAGATCTAGTGTTAAGTCTAACTTTTTGCTGAGGGTTTCTCCCCTGTCAATGTACACATTGTGAAGAACCATACAGGCTAGAGTTGCCGTTTTAACTTCTTCTTTACTACTTTCACATTTCCTTACAAGGACTCGCCATCTTCCTTTCAATTGACCGTAACAACCTTCGGTCACCAACCTTGCTCTACTCAACCGATAATTGAAATACCTCTGTATTGGGGTTAGGACAGCATTGCTATAAGGTTTCATGAGCCATGTTTTAAATGGAAATGCCGAGTCTCCAAGTACTAATGGTGGTACAAGCACTTCGCCAATTTTCTTCCCAATGTTAGGAATCAGCTCNGGTTGTGTGATTTTTGTATGAACTAAACAACTCACTGTTCACACTCGATTTCAGTGCAATCTATAATAGCCCTTGTATTTGGGTATTTACTCTGAAAGTCTTGAGGCATGGTATCATCTCCCACTTTTCGGGATGGCCATATGTTCAACTGCCCAAACCTCAAATTCATGAAGTTGACCCATGAAATAACAATCCTGCTGACAGTAGATTGAGATACATTGTACAAATGCCCCAGATGGCGCTCTGCAAATCCCTGCCTTAATCTGCACATTACAAGGAAGAATTCCTCTTTAGAGTTCAATGTTCTAGGCCTCCCTGGTCCAACACCAAGTTCAGGTTCTCTTTCATAATATTCAGGGTCGACATCATTTTGAACAGAACGCCAATACGGAATGTTTTCTCCGCTTTCCCCCGGATTTAATTATGTGTATGTTGCCATAAAAGCAGCATACGATGGAAAGCCTGTGTAAAAGGCAATATCTTCATCGGAAATAAACTTATCTAATGAAAAAACTCTGTTCTCCAATTTTGAACACTTCTCTGAAAGGTTAAAAGCATTGGCCCTTACTTTCTCCACCTCGGCTTCTAGTTTCTCATTTTTCGATTTACTGTCTTCGAGTGCACGCTCCATTTCAATCAGCTGTTTTCAAAGATCTTCATAGGACGAGCAGTTTTCAGAAACGCACGATGCATTTTCACTGGTAGTCGATGCTGAATCAGTTTCTAAACAAAGATCGATGTTTGAGTCACTTTGATCCATACTTGCTTGGGCTTCTGGACTTGAAATGGAAACTGTGCTCATGTCAAGCAACGCTCAAGCTTTCACATCCTCTCTGGGTGCTCTAGGTCGTGGTGGTCTCTTCCAAGGCAAGCTCTTCTTCCATGCAAAAACAGATGGAACTGCTCCGTCAACGTATGTTAACCGTCCAATACCTAGGCTCTTCTTAAGGTGTTCTTCCTTGAAGTGAAGGGAATAGACTTTTGTAGAATCTGTTATAGAGAAGTGTTTAAGAAGTGTTTAAGTGAGAAGTGAGAAGTGTTTATCTCGTCATATCGCGTGTAGCAATTGTTCCCTGAAGCATTTTTCGGTTGGAATGCTGAAAAATCCAACTTTCTTGCCATTCGGGTCAGTGGTCCCCTTTTGACTACAAAGTGGAACACAGCAATACCGATTCTGTGGCGATTTATTGCTATTCATAGCGAAAACAAGCACTAAGAACAACAACAATTTAAATTACACAACACACGCTCCTGTAAGCTAAATTTTGTTTATCCTCATCCACCTCGCTTTCATGTTCTCGGGCCGAGGCTTTCCCGAGTCGTCTGCCATTATGAATTTGGTGTACAATTCCCAAATTTATCGGCTAGACAAGGCTTCAGACTGTAGTGTCAGGAAGCTCCTGCTGTAGTAAAATGGTAATTTCTTTTTTAGGCTCTTGATGAGATTTTATTCCCACTGGGTTTTTAAGTTTTTAAAAAAGACAATTGTATAATAGTGGTCTTTGTAAAATAAGTCCAAGAAGAAAAAGATGAAGAGGTATTTTTTATTGCCTCCTTATGCACAAAATACAATTACAATACAGTAAAGATACAGTACATACAAATATGATACATACTTTATTGCAAATCCCTACAAGGATTTTTCGGTTACAAGACTGCATAACTATCATACTAAAATACAGTTGCCTCCTGATAACTTGAACCCTCACTAACTCAAACCCCCTGCTGACTCATTTCCCTTCAGACCATTTTCTATATAATTTAACCCTTGATAACTCGAACTCCCAATAACTCGAACCTTTTACTATTTCCCCTGAAGGTTTGAGTTATTGGGAGTCGACTGTAACTAAAAAAATAACCAAATAACTAAGGTCCAGTTCAGACGCCGAACTTTTCATGAGCCGAACCTAATACGTCGAATTAAGTACATGAAAAGTTCGGCGTCTGAATCAGTTAAGAACGGCTATTTGAATTGGGACCGGCTCAGCCGTTCTTCCCACCTGGCTCAGCCGGGAATTTCGCCTTTGGAATGGCTTTGATTCAGACGCCGAACTTTTCATGTGCCGAACCTAATGCATAAATTATGATAACGTATTGTAAAAGCAGTTTCTCAAAGAGAGCATGCGTCATAAAGCGTGTTTATTACCATCATGGCGACTTGGAGAGCTACACTCGCGGATAACAGCGAAGACATGTGTAGTTCCTACTTCGCTAACACGAAGTATGTTTGTATTGAATGTCGCATGTCGATCTGTAACAAGTGTTCTATTTTCGAAAACAATGAAGATACTGTTGGCTGGACGGCAGGAAGATCTGTTGGGCATTGTGAACCGTGCTTCAAGGCTAAGAAGTTGCTGGAAGAGAATTGTGATGGCGGAAAACGAAGAATGGCAAATAATGGGCGAGACAAGACCAACAACCCAGAAAAGTACGTGTGGAATTAACTTTTACAACTACCTTGGGTAACAGTTTTATTCCAAGTAATGTTTTATTGAAGGCATTCTATAGATATCCGTGTAGCAGTGTGTGGCAGTTTGCAAGGAAACAGGTTTCCTCGCCCCATTGTCAAGTCGTGCTATTGTAGGAAACAAAGTGAATATTCTATTCCCCGTTCTAAAAGCAAAATGCAACGACAGAGAAATATGCATTCCTCATAATAGCTTTAGTTTTTTTGTTGCCAAATAGTTAGAATATTGCAACTACAATGTGCAAATTGTAATTTTTAATTGTTTTGGCATATTCCAGTAGCTTACAAGAAACTTACAGTCTCTCAAATTCAGAGGAGGAACCATTGGATATAGATAAACAGAAGGACGACCAAGAGGAGAACAAGAAGGATGGTAGTAAGTCAAAGAACAAGCGAAAAAAAGCAGGAAGAAAGCCCAGGTGGTCACAAGAGCTGCTGAATGATTTCATTGATATAATTGTGAGCAGTGATCACTACAAGACAAAGCTGATATTTAGGAATACTAAATTTCAACAGAATGGGGAAATCTATGGGAAAATCCGTGAAGAACTGAAGCAGAGATGTGTCGCAAGGGATGAGAGTTTCTGCTTTACCATTGAGCAACTGAGATCAAAGTTCAAGAAGTGTGTGTCTGAATGTAAGAAAGCTGCTCTTACTATTAAGACTGGAACTGGCATTAAAAGATTCCAAGAAGACAAAAATTTTGGGGCATGGTTTCAGAAGCTTTATGACATAGTCAAAACAAGAGACTCTTGCCAGCCAGAGCAAGCAAGGGAACCATCAGCAACTCAGTTTTGCTGAAACGTCACTAGCACACCAACTTTGGACAGCTCTGAAAGTGAAACGTCATCAGTTGACCAAAGTCAGAATATGTTTGTTCCTGTAAAGCAACCAAAACGAAAAAGCAATCGGGATGACCCAATTTGTGAAGCTATGAAATTGATGAAAACAATAGCAGAAAAAGATCCAACCAAGGAACTTATAAGTTTTATGAAAGATGATATAGAGAAAGCACGGGAGCATGAGTTAAAATTGATGCAAATGATGCTTTCATTTCAAAACCAGCAACCACTTCAGGGTCAGAGCCCTGTGTCTGCAGCAGGACATGTGGGTTTTGCCTCAAGTGCCTGTAATAGTGATGGCCTCTACTTGCCTTATCCACCAGCTCCTCACCAAATTATTCAAAGTGCTGGTTCCATGTATCAGGGCCCTTCAAATTAACAGTTTGGACCCCTTTCTCCTGCAAATTCTCTGCCAACACCTGTTAATTCTAATTATTCTACTCCAAGCCCTGAATCTGTTGGTGAGGTATCTACTCTTACCAGGGCCGATAGTCCTGTTTACCACTCTATGTGATTTATTATTATATAAACAAGGATACACGTAGGAAGTTGAAATTGTATCCTCATATTTGTATCATTATTTCACTTTCTAATCTCTGATTGGTTGCCAGATTGACTGTAAAGAACAAATTATTTTTTTTGTCGTTTGATATACACAAATTTTGTGTACAACCGAATACTTACCACTTAACCACAGTGTTTGTACACTGTGTTTGTACACTCTATAGGAGGGGAAGTAATGTTACAGTTCATGAATATGTTGTGTTAATAAGCTGCTTTATGACAAAGTGAAACAACTCTGTACTGTCTCTTGAGATTACATCGTTATCAATAAGAGTTCTACAGTGAGTACTATAAATCAGTGTAGCTCTTAAGGAGAATGCAATGTATACACAACAATGAGCCCATTTTCTCTCAAAGACAAACATCATTTCTCATAGAAACACTTTAATAGTAACATGTTAAACAACATTGGCACATTATGCTAATAAACAGTTATTTGGAAATGTACATCTTCCATTTCTAACATCACAAAATCCACCCTGGAAATATCTGAAACATTGTCCAAGTTAATGTCTTGCATAATATCAACAAAGGAGCCATACCTGCTTTAAGAAAGGATTTTGCCAGGACAAATAATTATTAATGTCCATGTGATTATCACAGGGATTAAAAGAGTGATCTAAAGTGGTCTAGCAAACAAGTCTAACTTTTTGCTGAGGGTTTCTCCCCTGTCAATGCACACATTGTGAAGAACCACACAGGCTAGAGTTGCCGTTTTAACTTCTTCTTTACTACTTTCACATTTCCTTAGAAGGACTCACCATCTTCCTTTCAATTGACCGTAACAACCTTCGGTCACCATCCTTGCTCTACTCAACCGATAATTGTAATACCTCTGTTTTGGGGTTAGGACAGCGTTGCTATAGGGTTTCATGAGCCACGTTTTAAATGGAAATGCCGAGTCTCCAAGCACTAGTGGTGGCACAAGCACTTCGCCAATTTTCTTCCCAATGTTAGGAATCAGCTCATGTTCTTTTATGTCAGCCCAAAGTTGAGTTGACTGGAGAATAATAGCATCATGTGAGTTTCCTAGAAACCCACAAGTTCCCCACATGAACCTATAGTTCGAGTCAACCATCCCCATCATAACAATTGAATAAAAGTTCTTAAAATTATAGTACTCTT